GCTCTCTTCTAGATAACTATAGGCCATTCCTTCTAGTCCTATTAGAAATACACATGCAAGACCACACTAATCTTAGGGATGACTTCCAGTTCACTAATATGTGTCAAGTCTCATCCAATTGACTCTCTGGAGGTATAGTAATTATGTGGCATCGTGACTTAGTTAATGTGGATTAACTTCGCATGTCTGAGTAGGAAATACATTGTTTGGTTCAGGCATGGCCTTTTAATACTAAATGACTTTTTTCTTCCATTTATGCTAGCACATCTATTACATCTCGTAATATTCTCTAGAACAATTTAATGTGTTTACATGACAACTATAAAGGACCGTGGCTAGTAGGGGTACTTTAATGAAGTCCTACGAGTTTCTGCGAAATTTGGGAGAAATCCTATGAGCAACAGACGTGCAGATTTATTTGCAAACTGTATCAACTATTGTAACCTTATAGATTTAGGTTTTAAGGGTAGTCGTTTCACATTGTCTAAGAAGCGTCACCATGGTTACACCATTCTAGAAAGACTAGATCGCATTCTAGCTAACTAAAATGGCTTAAACTTTTTCCAGAAATTGTGGTCCAACACCTACCTCAAACTCATTCTGATCATTGTCCATTACTAATATCTCTAGAAACAAAGCGTACTCCTCGTAAAAATATTTTTCGTCTATAAACTATCTCAGCAACTCACCTTTCTTTCCGTCCACTAGTTAAACAAACTTAGAGTAATCATCATTCACTTTTAGATGAAACCCAAGTTTTCCAGCAAGATGTCCTTACTTGGAATAAAGAAACTTTTGGAGATATATTCGTTAAAAAAATAAAGCTTCTTTCTCGATTAAATGGAATCGATTCATTCATTATCACACGAGTAGTTTCTTACAAAATCTAGAGATCTAACTCACAAATGAATACAGTAGTATACTTAGGTTAGAAGAAGATTTTTGAAAGTTAAAATCAATAATTAATTGGCTAAATGACGGAGATACTAACACAAAATTCTTCCACGTGAAGACTTTACAAAGACATAGACGAAATCGTATTACCGCTCTTCAAGATAGTATAGGCAACTGGTGCTTTGGCCCAACAGAACAAGCCCTCTTCCGATACTACAATACCCTCATCACTACAGAACAAGCCTTTTCTGATAGACTCTACTCTCCTGTTTATAACAGTTGTTTAAGTCCTGTTGATCAAGCCACTTCATCCTCCCCCTTCAAGGATATCGAAATTACTCAACCCCTCTCTTCCTTTAAACCGTTCAAATCCTCAAGACCTGATGACATACATCTGTATTTTTTTCAAGATTACTGGCCGGAAGTGGGTTCAAATGTTACTGCTTTTTGTCACAAAGTGTTTGCGGATAACACCATTCCCCTTGAAATAAATAAAACTTATTTGTGGCTCATACCCAAGATAAAAAATGTTATCTCAATTGCTCAATTCTGATCGATTAACCTTTGCAACACTATCTATAAGCTAATTACAAAATTTTAGTCAATCGGCTTAATACCTTGTTACATAAAACTATAGGACTCCCTTAATCCAGTTTTCAACACGGAAAGCGCGCTTCGGACCAAGCAATCATTGTCCAAGAAATTCTCACATATTTTCTCAAAACATGGGGTAAGCAAAGCCATATGCTTCTAAAACTAGATCTAGAAAAAACCTTCGACATGTTAGAATGGTCCTTCATTTGTCGTATGCTCTTCTCTTTTAATATCCCGCCCTCAATAATTATGCTAATCATGTTCTGCATCACGGCCACATCAACCTCAATATTGATAAATGACACAAGGGCAAATATTTTTCAACCATCTCGAGGCATTTCCCAAGGTAATCCCCTCTCCCTCTATATTTTTATTATGTGCATGGAAATGCTTTCACATAGCATCTCCACATCGGTAAACTATCTTCTCTGGAAGCCTATTAAAATTTTACGAAATGGACCTGAACTCTTTTTTTTTATCAACGACATCATTCTGCTCTCTAGAATAACTAATAAAAGTTATCATGCCATAATTGACACGCTTAATAACTTTAACAAAATTTTAGGCAATAATATAAATTTTCAAAAGTCAAAGATTTTCTTCTCAAAGAATTGCAACGATGATAAGGCCTATGTGCTCTCATGCTTTAGCATATCTGAAGGGATAACCTTTGGCAAATACTTAGGATTTTTCATGTCCGTCAAGACACCACAAAAATCCAACTTTTAATTCCTCCTTGACAATTTCAAAACTCGCCTTACAAGCTAGAAGACTAAGTTTCTATCCCTAGCAGTGAGAACAAATCTAATGAAATCCATGCTTAACAGCCTTTATAATCATGTAATGCAATATATTTTTATTCCCAAATTCATAATAAATAAAATGGAGCAATATCAACAAAACTTTCTTTGGGGCACTACTTTCGTTAAAAAAAACTCCATCTAATACAATGGAAAAAAATAACCACCCTCCACAAATTTGGAGGATTAGGCATACAAAAAGTGTCTCTTAAAAATGATGTTTTACATGCTAATCTCTCATGGCGGTTCTTCCATACACCAACCGCACTTTGGGCGACAACACTACTTCACAAATATTGGTTTATATGTTCTTTTGCTAAAACTCATTTACATACTTGGTAATTCTCTAGGACTGGTCATACTGCAATTTAGGCTTACAATAGCACATATGCAATGACCAACATATAAAATTCTGATCCGATGCTTGGGTTGGAGCTGCAACCAACATGCGCTCTATCATCTCTGGACCTTTTCCAGTAGAAGACATCAACCTCACAATATCATCATATATAACTCAATCAAGTTGGGACTGACAAAAATTTCCTTTTGAAATACCTCAATGTATCAAAGCTCATATGCAAAATCAGCACTTCCGTATATACAAAAAGAACATTGATAGTACATTATGAGCTTTGACAAATAATGGTTTATTCTCAGTACAATCCATGTACACTTCTCTCCTTAATCACGCGCCTTCAATTAATGCGCACTAACCTCAATACAAATGGATTTGGAAGCTCCCAATAACCTTAAAAATTAGGTCTTTCATATGGCTCCTTAGCCATAACCGTCTACCTTCTCGCCACTATCTCCACCATATAAGTATTCTTACAAAGGCAAATTGCTTATACTATCATTGATCCTAATAAAAGACTCAACCACAACTTTCTGACATGTCATAATGTACAAAACTACTGGAAAAATCTAGGTCTACAAGCTACAATTAATATTTTGAATCGATTTCCTACTCCATATCTATAGCTTCATCTACTTTTTAAGGGAAGAAATAAGCATATGCCCCATAACCTCCATCCACACAAATTCCTCTCTTTTAAGTTTATGGAACATCTGGACTACACAGAATACAAATTCTTTTGAACATAGAAAAAACAATGTCTCTGCTCATCATATAATTAATCAAGCTATAGAGTTTACTTATTGTGCGACAAAGTCTATTGCTAAAACTCTTAAAAGTACAAATTGTTGTCAAATGGATTCTTCCAAAATCAAATTATTACAAATTAAATACTGATGAAGTAGTCTCTCATCAATCTGGAAATTTCGGCATAGGAGGGCTCATTCGGAATGTTAGGGAACTTGCATTACGTGGTTTGCTGGTAATATCACTACAAAAATAGCATAAAAGCAGAATTATAGGTACTTTTCCATGGATTATAGTTAGCAATTCAGTTTAATTTGGTTCCACTTGAAGTTAAAATTGATGCCTCAGAAGTAATCACGGTTTTAAGAAATGAAAATCTCCTTTACACTAATATTATCTATGATTGCAGGCACCTGCTCCACCAGCTCCATGATCCAAATCTCATACATGTGTACAGAGAGCAAAATGGGATAATAGATATGTTAGCCCCACAAGATTGTACGATGGAGTGCTCAGCAACACCAACTAGTTTGGTCTTACCACCTATTTTTGTTATCGAACAACTAAGAGCAGATCAGTAAGGCACTACAACTCTCCGGAAAATACCACCCGCTCAAGTATGGCAATCTGTTAGGCTTGACACTCAAACACCACCTTTTGCTCCACATCCGGCCGACATGTTGGCAACAGACATTCACCCTCTGCAACATGGTGTTGTACATGGAGTTACTATAGTAAAAAATTTCCCTTTTTGTAATGATCCTTTGGATCAACACTCCACAATAGATGTTAGTAACAGTTCTATTAGTTGTAGTATTAGTACTTTGGTACATCCCCAGCATCAACCTCTTTGTACGAATGCATCTTTATAATTAATCTAAGCTTATCTTTCCTACCCCAAAAAAGGCCTAAATTACAAAGGGATAAAGTTCTCTATCTTTACCATTACTTATTCGACATTTTGGGGCCAGTTATAACGACGTTATAATAGATTTTGTTTGGAGAAAATGATACTCTATAAATATTTTTTTTTGTATATATGTACATTATGTATGTTATATACAAAAGCTATACAAATTTTATATACCTTTTCGGCTATCGAATGTAAATAGTTTCTATCACGGGCTAAAAGTGATTGGATAATTATGGTGTTTTAACTAATTTGGACTTATGAGTTATGAAATATATACATTATGATTTATGAGTTATGAGTTGCAATATATCAATGAAGGAAACTTTTTAAAGTGTTAAGCTTAGAAATTATGATACACAAGCTCTAGTATATTATGCTGGATCGGTATATTATACTGGAACTCCAGTATATTATGCTGGAATTATTTTTCCGGATTTTGAATAGTGCTTTCGTTCAGATTTATCTTTACATAAAAAGTGGCTAAATTTCGATTACTTTTGAAACTGTGACTATTTTTGAATGACCACTTGTAAATATGACTATTTTTAAATTTCTCCCAGATTTGATACTAAATGGACCGCGAGCCCAACTATACATGGCCCAATTTAGGACATCTGTAGTGGGCCTTAATAAACAGATCCATTAGAATCGGTAACTCTTCTCTCCTCTCCTCTCGCTTCCATAGGCAATTCATGAAATTTCACCAATACCTGCGGAATCCGCTACCTTAAAGACGAATACTATATTAACAACATAAACTATATTTTGTCTTCTCACACATTCCCACACCCTTAATTTCTTCGTGCAAACCACTCCCCTATTATCACTCACGAGCGGTTGCTTTATGAGCCGCACGTCCTTCAGCGCGCGTGGGTACTCCCTTCGTTTAATGCGCTTTACAGAAACTTAGCCCTAGACCACTTCCTTCTCTATATCGACCATGAACAACCACCGTCTACGACTCCGATCACCTACTTCGATCCCTTTTTATATATCTTCCAATCGGCTGAATTGCCACTGAATTTTTATTGAATTCCAATCTGCCTGATTCGCGATTTTCTCCTCCTAAGGTCAGTATAAGTCTATTTATTTTCTCTTCTAAGCTCTAGATTTTTTCCTTTTTAATTTGAAGAATTTTTGTTTTGGTTATTGAAGGGTTAAAATGGAACCTATGGACATCGTTGGTAAATCAAAGGAAGATGCTTCACTTCCCAAAGGTTTCTTCTCGCTTCCCTCTTTAGTTTCCGTTCATGTATTAATATATTCAGAAAAAGAATAATTTTGAGCCAGCATATTTAGACTTAATTACTGTTTACTCGGATTGCTTTTCACCAAATTGAATGAGTGTCTACCGATTTGAAAGTTTAAATTATTTGGCGAGAAAAATTGTTTATTAGCTTAAATTATGATGCTCCTATCCAATATATTAGGGTTCTCCTGAGATATTAGCTTAACACTTATGATTATCCTGTCCAAGATATTAGAATTCTTATGAGATATTAGCTTAACACTGATTATTATCCTGTCCAAAAGGCGGCATAATTAGCTAGGTGGTCGCAAAAAAGTTATATAGCATTTTCATCTCACGGTTGAGTTTAAAGTCGAGAAATAGGGTTGAGCAGTGCACAACTTCCTAAATTCTAGGATCAGTTTCAGTTAGCTAAAAGCTTGATTCTTCGTGCTGTCTGAAGTTCTCTATTTTTGTTCTACCTCTACATATTAAGTAGGATATTTTGTGTCAATTTTTTTGAAGTTCCCATCACATTATGTATCAGTTGCCTGAGTAACTCAGTCTATTATGTATCTGTCGCCAGAGTAACTCAGTCTATCTCATCAACGTGTAAAGAAAGAGGGCTGCTTTTTGTTCTTTATCTACATTGTGCCATCTTTTGAGAAAAGATTATTGACGTTGTGTTAGAATGATGAGCTTGATGATTCCACTTGCAAACAATGATATTGAAATTTTAGCTGCATCTAGTTTTTCTTTAATCTCTTAAACTCATTTAATTTTAGAGAACACGCTATTTGATTTGGATGACTTAGTTTAATTAATGGTTTGCTTTCTTTGGCTATACTGATATTGTATCTCTTCTCAGCAACTATGACAAAGATTATTAAAGAAATGTTGCCGCCAGATGTTCGTGTTGCCCGAGATGCTCAGGATCTTTTGATTGAATGTTGCGTAGGTGAGTTGATTTTAATTTGCCCGATTTAATTTTTTGAGGTCAGTTTAGTTATCACGACGGATGTGACTATTGTTGAGTACTATTTTGTCTATGTCCGCAACTCTGCTTCTCTCTGATTTTAATTGTATTTTTTTTTTAATCAAGCAGACCTTTAGTAAAAAAAACAAACAAACTGGTGTATAACCATTTTTTTCATCAAGTCGATTTCACTGAGAATAAGATGGTGTGTAATCTATTGTGCCCGGTGGAAGTTTATGGATTAAACGGGTAGTTGTCTTCAAGGCCTGTTGGTACTGAAATTCTATATAGTATGATGAGACATAGTACAAGAAGAGTATGATAGAAGTGCTTGGTTGTGGACTACTGACCACAGTTTAAGACATTAAGTAGGTCAGTATGAGGAACTGTTAAACTGATTTATCCTGTGTTTTATTCTAAGTTGATTCATACACCTAAAAGAGATCAATGTTAGAATCCTGGTAGAGGCAAAAGAGCTAGGTGATTCTTCCCATTTGCCTAAGCTAGAATTACCTGGAACCTGCATTAGTGGGAGGATGCAAGTACCTGGTTGAATAGTAGACATGCGCACAAGTTGGCCCAAACACCAATATTTTCATATTTTTTTTATAAATTCTTCTTACAACTCAAATTGGATTCTTCCAGATTACTCAGGTTTACTAATAAAACAAAACATTGTTGATCTCCGGTCCATGTCCTGATAGATGAATTTAAAGTAATTTGGTGTGGAGCTGCTGTTTCCATATATGTCCTGTCTGGTGATATGTCTTTGCTATGTGAACAGGGTTACAGTATCTTCCCTTTCCTGTTCTCCCTCTATGGATAGTTATCACCTCTGCAATTACCTTAAATGGATAGCAAAGTCATAGCTTCTATTGTTACTTGAATTAACTTCAGTTATTATCTAAATTGACCTCATAAGGTCATTTTCCCTCTTTCTCCTTAGCTAAGTGTTTGTCACTTCTGTGCTGTGCAGAGTTCATTAATCTTATCTCATCAGAATCAAATGAAGTTTGTAATAGAGAAGACAAACGAACAATTGCACCAGAACATGTACTCAAGGCTTTAGAGGTGCTTGACCTGATCCTGTATCTTCTTCTATCTTTATCCTGTTTTGCAATTCTCTGCTGGCACTTTTTACTGTATGATCTATATCAGTTTACTCCAAGATGAGATATGTCAGTTCAGATGTAGTTTTCCTCTGACCTAAAGTTAGGCCAATAAGATAACAAAGCTTCTTGACTTAGGAATCTGTTTCCTTATGCCCTTGAAGTGATAATAAGGTGTTGTAAAGATGACTAATGCAAATATCATTCATGATTTTAACTGATGTCTGCGTTATGTGTAAATCATGGTTTCCTTTATCTGGGGTCTGAGGAATATATTCACCATAGAAACCAATGCAATAGTTGTGACAATTATTTTCATCATCAATCATCCAGAAATCTTTCCCTTTTTTACCTTTATAAAAATAGCCCAGAAATTTTATTCATGCAGTGTCCTTTACTACACGTTAATCTATTAATATTATCCGCTGGTTAAATTTTTATAATATCCTTGCTTTGGCTTGCAGTGAAAAATAAAGACATGATTTGGTAATCAGAACTTGCTTGTAGTGTCTTTGCTTATGTTAAGTTATGATCTCTCAGGTTCTTGGTTTTGGGGAATATATTGAAGAAGTATATGCTGCATATGAACAACACAAGCTAGAGACCATGGTAACTTCTCTTTTCTTTATCGTCTTACTTTACTTTGACATATGGATAACCTATACTATTATTTAAGCTTCTCTGTGGAATAGCTAGTGTATATCTATTGAGCTTGCATCTCTTCCCTTTTTTCATGGAGGTCTCATCTTAGTGATTTCTTTTCATTTTATCTTTTGTTCTCCAAGTGAGTTTCTCCTTCTCCCATTGAGTCCACTGCCTGTGGCTAAACCTTTTAAAGTGATTTAAGACAGCAATAAGTTTTATCATTTATTGCCCTTTGGTGTATTTTTCTACCATAGGACACTGTGAGATCTGGGAAATGTAATAATGTAGCTGAAATGACTGAAGAAGAAGCATTAGCTGAGCAACAGAGGATGTTCGCTGAGGCACGTGCAAGGATGAATGGCAGTGTTACAGGCCCTCCCAAGCAGCAAGATTCAGAAGCTGAGCAGCAGAGGATGTTTGCTGAGGCACGTGCAAGGATGAATGGCGATGTTACGGGCCCCACCAAGCAGCAAGATTCAGAAACTGAGCAGCAGAGGATGTTTGCAGAGGCACATGCAAGGATGAATGGCGATGTTACAGGCCTCCCCAAGCAGCAAGATTCAGAAGCTGAGCAGCAGAGGATGTTTGCTGAGGCACGTGCAAGGATGAATGGCGATGTTACAGGCCTCCCCAAGCAGCAAGATTCAGAAGCTGAGCAACGGCAGATGTTTGCTGAGGCGCATGCAATGATGAATGGTGGTGTTACAGGCCCCCCCAAGGAGCAAGATTCAGAAGCAAAGCAAAACTTTAATAGCTAACTTCACTTTTTGTTGTTCTGTAGGAAAATCATCTTTAGTCTTAGTAGTGGGATCTTTTTTCTATTATGTGGAAAAAGCTCCTGGCGCATGTGTCGACTGTGAGGGCTCTAGTTCAGTTTGTACTCCATGCATTATGTTCATATATTATGTAAATTAGTAGGAATTTGCTTCAGAATGTTGGTTTGTGAGGCCTCTTGTGAGTATTTCTGTCACAAAGAGGTCTTTGCCCCTTTCCATTTTGCCTAAATAAAAAATAGTCTCAACACGGAAACTACTGGAAAAGATTGTCCTTTACCAAATAAAAAATTGTCCCAACACTGAACCAGTGGGAGAGAATGATGAATGTGATCGTCGCAATATAATTAGTGGTCTGAGTAGGATTATAGGGTCATTATAAATTGCCTAAATGGGCATTCTTTGTTTATTTTGGATCCACCACTGTTTGTTTCTGGTGCTTCTCTTTTTTCCCTTCCAGGTAAAGAAATGCCGAGGAAAATGAAAAATGGATCTTCTTTTTCATTTAGGCCCACCATTGCTTTTCCAGGCTTTGGCTTTGGCAATGTTTGAAGCTCAATGAAAGAGGATAAGAAAGAGACACCTGAATTCAATGTTAGTACTACCTTTGTGGCACTGTTTATTGCAAATAATTGTGTCTTGAGTAGAGAATCTAAAGTGATCGTTGAGCTAAGCCCAACATCATCATTCATCACTGACTCTGGTCCTCTGAGTATGTTTTGCAGAGGTTATCATACGGGGATGTCTGCTGTAAACAGCTATAGTTCTCTGATTTTGTTACCACCTCATTTTTCTTTTTTACTGTGTTTGGGTTCAAGTCAAGAAAGAGCCAGTCAAGATACTCCTTACCATGTCCCACTGAGATTCCTTTCTTTATTTCAAAATATTATTCTTGTGGGTGTGGGAAGGAGGTTCTTCCAACAACATGCCTGCCCTTTCCTCGTATTTCACTCCCAGTTCCCATGACAGTTGGTGGGGTAGCTTATGTTTTCTTTTTGTCAGATTCTTGTACTATGATCAAGTACTAGAAGCTAAACAATTTTTTTTTTTTAAAAAGAATTCTCTGAAAAGAACAAAGGGTCAATGTTACACTGTATAAATGAACTTTTACGCTATCATGTCATCTAAAATAAAATTATACATGCACTAAATCTGTCAATCCTAATTTTCCTACCTACCAACTAACACTTTAAAAGTGCAGCCTACTTTGCTTTCCTATCTCAGATGAAGACAATCATGGCAAAGAATTTCCAAGACCTGTCCTCAAAGAAGCAGTTCAGCTGGACAACTAAAGTCAGCAATGAAAAACAACAAGTAGCAGCAGAAGATCCATTCCTTAAAGCCTCCTCAAACACAAACAACACTGAAGATGTAAAAGCAGAAAACATAAAGTTATCTCCTTTGAAACATCCAGAAATCTCAACCTCCAAATCTTCTTCCTTAAACACTATTCATGGAAACAAGATAGAGAAGAAGTTAGTTCAAGAATCTGCTACAACAAGGAGGAAAGCAGTGGCCAGGCTAAAATCTGTACTAACATCACTTGGTAGAAACAAAGGATATTTCCAACAAGGCCTAGGAACTAAAGTTGTGGGCACCCTTTTCGGACACAAGAAAGGACATGTAAATTTTGCATTTCAGAAAGATCCCAATTCACAGCCAGCTTTCTTGGTAGAATTAGCCATCCCTATAAGTGGATTAGTCCGAGAAATGGCATCCGGATTGGTTAGGATTGCATTGGAATGTGACAAGGAGGAAGAGAAGAAATCAACTAGGCTAATAGATGAGATTTTGTGGAGGACTTACTGTAATGGGAAGAAATGTGGCTTTGCAACAAGAAAGGAATGTGGTCCAAAAGAATTGCAGATTCTGAAAGCTGTGGAGCCAATATCAATGGGTGCTGGTGTTTTACCAGAAGAGAGTGGTGAGTCTCTTGACTCAGGGGATGTGATGTATATGAGGGCGAAGTTTGAGAGAGTAGTGGGATCTAGAGATTCAGAGGCATTCTACATGATGAATCCTGATAGCGATGGAGCTCCTGAACTTAGTATTTACTTGCTCAGAGTTTAAGCATCCATGCGCAAACTCGACTATTTATAGTCAGATAAATAAATTTTCCTCTTTTTTTCTGTTAATATGTAGTCTGACTGAGACAGGCTTTAATGGAGCGACATAGACATTGAGAGTTCATATAACCGACCTCACTTTCTTGGAATTGCGACTTTGTTGTTGTTAATATGTAGTCCTTGTTTCTCTCATTTCTCAGGGTGTCATGATTGCTTTAAGATTGTTCATTGTGTTTGTATTCTTAATTTCTCAGTTGATGTCAATGTTCTTGGCTTCGTAAATTTGTATATTCATCAAAGACAAAGTTGGAATTAGACTACTGCTTATTTTACCCTCTGCATGAAGCACATTCTGATCATTAATTGAAATTGTTGTTTTCTGTCATTACACACCACTAAAAATTAATGAATTTTTATCACATCTCATTCATATTAACAGTATTTGTGCTGCTACGAAATATGAATAACATGGACCGAAAATCACGTTATCAAAGAAAAAGGTGAAAATAACACGGGCTAGCTAGTTTTCGAACTAGTAATTGAAAATAGCTAGCGTTTGCAAAGTCATTAAAAAATAGCCACTATTTTGCTGGAAGACGGAAAGTTCCAGCATAATATACTGGAGATTGATGCACCCGTGTATGAACTAATGTGCTGGAACTCCAACACACGAAAAGTTCCAGCAAAAATATATGAGAGATTGGAGCACCTGTTATGAACTTTCAACATATTATGTTGGACTAGTATATTATGCTGGAAGTCTAGTATATTATGCTGAAATATTTTTCGGATTTTGAACAGTGTTTTCGTTCAAATTTATTTTTACATAAAAAATGACTAAATCTCGATTACTTTTAAAACTGTAGCTTTTTTTCAATTACCACTCGTAAATCTAACTATTAAGGGGGCGTGGGCTGTATGAAAATGTGCATTATATGGGGGCAACGTTTTACCTTTTGCAAATGTGAACTATGGTCATCTTTGAAACATTCAAATAGCTAATGCTTGATATTTTTCTCTTTCCTTCTTTTCTTGACTGCTTTCCTCTAATTTTGAAAATTTTGCAACGTTCCTTTTCCTGGGCACCTCATTTAAAGTGTCTAATTGTCACATGTTCCAATCATTGATTTTGGTCTAAGCTTGATCGAAGTAATAACATGAAAATCCCAAGAAATTAAACTATGTACTGTTAAATCAGACTTTATTTAAAAACAGGAATTAGAGGACAAATATTTCCTCTTTTGAATTGGTCCCGCTGTTAGAAAGGTTAACACCGTTCAAATAAAGAAATACATTTGTAAAAGAGTTTCCTTCTCTTAGTTAGAAAATACGGACTGATCCTCTATTTAGAAGCTTATATTAAAGAGCTCAATAGAAAATGGTAAAGAAATGAATAAACAAAAGGGTTAGTAATCTATGATAAGATTGGAATGAAATTGCACTCAGGCTAGAGGTCTCACGTTCAAATGTTAGAGGAGGCAAAAATATTACTTCATCTCTATCAAATTATCTGTCGTAATTTCTAAAAATAATTACCTCAAATTATTTATCATTTTAAAAGTTCAAAATAAAATTAATTATTTTTTTCTCATTTTATCCTTAATAGTATTTGTCCTTAAAAATAAAAATGGCATATAAATAGAATAAATACTCAACAAAGAAAGATTATATCTTAAGATATAAATAAGGGTAAAATAAACAAAACTCCTTCTAATTAATGTTTCTTAAGGGCAGTGCAAAAGAAAAATAAGACAAATAATTGAGACCAATGGAGTAGGTAATTTCTTATCATCTACCTAAATTTATCATTCAGTGAAATAGTCGAGATATAAATTAAGGTGAAAATAAATTAAGGTGGTTTGGCCATCACTCAAAAATATTTATTTAGGAATATGGCATGCATCATTTCTCTCCAGGTTTCAAGGCTTTTCTTTCTCTTTTGCTTATGTTGGCTATCATTTATTTAAAGCGAAAAAGAGAAGGTTTAGGCTGGAAGCCATATTAGTGGCATTGATTACAACTTAAAAGAAATTAAGGAGATCGTATTAAGATTACATCCACAGTAATCGAGGTTTTCTTTTGATCACGATGTTATCACTGTTCAAAGATTCAAAAATTATTTGCCGCAAAATAAAGCTTAGATTTAAACAAATAGTGAGTCACTTCTTTACTTAATCTAATCAATGCTTGTCATGGATCACAAACTAGTGAATCACTTTTTTTCAGTATGTGCCATCTAATAATATATTATTTACACATTTCTTCTTCAAGAATCTAAGACCCCACCCAGTTGAAATCAAATACTCCCTCGTTCACTTTCTATACTAAAAATACATTTTCACTTTTACTTGTTCACATATTAAATCAAAAGAAAGACAATTATTCTTTACATGTTTAATATTACCCCTATCATTAAGTAGTCATTCCCCAAATCATTTCTCAAGATTTTTAAAAATACTACTCCCTCCGTTTCAATTTATGTGAACCCATTTGACTGGGCACGGAGTTTAAGAAAAGAGAGAAGACTTTTGAACTTGTGGTGTAAAATGAGGCACATATATTTTGTGTGGCTATAAATCATTACATAAAAGTAAATTGTTTCCAAATAGGGAAAGGGGTCATTCTTTTTGGCACGGACCAAAAAGGAAATAATTTCACATAAATTGAAACGGAGGAAGTATCATTATGGGTAAAATCGTAAAATATATATTTCATTTATTTTTATTAAAGGGAGTGTAAAATCAAAAGTAAACAACAAAAAAGTAAACGGAGGGAGTACAATTATGCCAATGCTCCTTGACCTAAAACCAAAAAAGGAAAGCAAGAAAAATGGGGTATATAAAAAGGAAATGTTCCGAGAGCTGAAGTCTGTAACACCCCGTACATTCGGACTAGGTGTAGATATGTTAAATCGGTATTAATTTGATATTTTAGACATATAAAGTCCTAGAGGGATGATTATTGGTGAAAATAGTTATTTCGGAATCAAGATGGAGAATGAGGTGCATAAGATTCGATAAAATCTATGAAGTTTACAAAATGTCCGTTTTGCAGAAGGTTTAGTGAAACACGTGTAAGGCATTTGGGAATA